ATGCTGCCCCCAGCGATAGCAGGGTCCAGACAGGGGGTCCTGCCAGCCAGGAGCTCCTTCTATACCCAAGGATGAAGAGCAAGGCCAAGGTGGGAGCTCACTACTCCATCCCCAGCACCAACCGTGGGGAAGTCCCTGGTGACATCAGGGTTTCACCCACTGGCTCTGAACCCTTCTCGAAGGCAGAGCCTCATTAAACTGGGTAATTTGGACTGACTGGCCCGAGTAATTCCCACGGCTGGGCCCACAATAGCAGCCAAGCCCAGGAGGAAATTGCATTACTGTATGTGGAGGTCTCAAATCTGAAAGGGAAGGAGCTGTTCACACCAGCCAGGGCTTTAATACCAGATTAAATGCTTTCACAGCAGCCCGGCTGTTTGAAAGCTTCCAGCCAGCCTTTTGTCAATTTAGTTTGCATTGTACTTTGGCTTCAAGAGGTACCTTAAAATGTAACCAACAGCATTTTGTTTTCTCATTTTTTTTTGGGTATGGTAGCTTAGCTTTTCTTGGAGGGAATTCATGGACCTGAGATGGTTGCTGCTCCGTCTGGGAAGGCATGAAGTGCTTCAGTGGCAGGGGGGCCAAGCAAAGCTCCTCTCCCCAAGGCTGTTGGCCTGAATGCATTACTGTTTAGGGAATCTATTGAGCATTTTGTCCTTAAAGACTCGCCATTTTAGGAGGCTGAATGAAGCTCCAACTGGAATGATCAATTTTTAATTTCCCCATTAGCAGAACCAGAAGAAGCCTGGTACTTTCTCCTGATAGAGGGAACAGCCTATATTCTTACAAGGATTGTACTTTAAGAAGCTGATTATCCCAAGCCTTGAAACAGGAGCTAAGCCGTGTCTCAGGGACATGCCCGACACCGGGTGCTTAAACGCAGCAATTTAGGGGAGTCCCTGGCTGACTCCTGGCAGGTGGGACCGGGATGTGCAGCTGCATTGGGCATCCTTGGGCCAGCACCCCAGAAACAGCAAGGATGAACCCATACCTCAGTCGTGGGCTGGCCTCTACTCTGAAATTTGGCACCTGTGAGACGGGGGGCACAGACTCATAGGAAACTGCTGCTACTCCTGCCCCTCCTCTCCCTGCCGTGGGGACACAGAGGAACCTCTGTCTGTCCCCCAGCCCACCGCAGCCAGCCGGGGGGGTGGGCACAGCCTCACAGGGCTCTGTGCCACCCCACAAGTGCA